GGTGAATGAATCAATTCACACACATACATACACACACACACATACACACACACACACTCTCTCACACACACACAGAAAAAACAAACAAACAACAACAACAACATGAACAACAACAACAACAAAAAAAACCCGGGGGGTGGGGGAGAGGAAGATATAACAACCACAACTTTTTTTTTGAAGTTCTTACAACTAGAAAATGGAGGGGACACACCTGGGTGGGAGTGGGGAGAGGGAGGAGGGAGGGAGGTTTCAGTGACGGGACACAATAACTAACTACATTGTATATTGACAAAATAAAATTAAAAAAATAAAAAATAAATAAATGCCTATTTATCTCAAGTTTGTCCCAAGAAAGGGTTATTCAAAGCTGTATAACTAGGTAACAAACTTGGCTTTCCCACACTAGTTAGAAATACTCTCTAAATATTTATAGAGATGTGAATGTTATTATGCCATTTACCTCCCTTCCTTTGTATGTCACCAAGGCAGCCAGTGGTTTGGCGTAAAATCTGCTGTAGGAAAATCCCAAGCAACCGTACATACTGTTCGCCGTGAGCTTCAAAGCTTTCTGTCGAATGTCATACTACAGACCACACAAGGACAAAAGAAAAAAAAAATTTTTCAGATGCTTAAGCACTACATTAAATGTCTTTCTAGATCACCAATGAGAAGGAGAAGCCCTCAATATCCCTGAAAAAAAAAAAAACAAAAGAACTCAACATAATCAACCCACTCTCCTGGATCCATAATTCTCTAACCTCCTAGAAGCAAATAAACACAAACTCCAAAGCTCTGTGGAGTCAGAAGGATCTTGCTCACATATGGCCTTTGCAGACAGAGGTGCCGTCCATTCTGAGGCATTCTAGTATTTTTGAATGGTTACCTACCCGGGAATTTTAAATAAGCACATGCATTTGCCCACAGCATCCTGTTTATACCACTCCTAAATAATCAAATTCTAAAAGCTGAGACTGTTACTCAGATGTCTTTTAGTAAAAAGATATACCTGAAGAATAAGGTCTGGATTTAAATCTTGCTGTTTCATTAGCTGTTTGACTTGTTTTCTCCGCTCTACCAGTTTCCGGATCTCTCTGGGCAAAATGCCCATTTCTAAGCTTGGATCTGGCAACTCAGGAATCTGTTCCTGTTCTCCATCCTAATAAACACACAACAGAAATTTCAGACAAATCAAACTTTCATGAAATAAGTTTCGAAAATAATATTTTGTGGGAGATCTCCCCCATGATCATTTTTTTTTTTTTTTTTTTTTTGTCTTTTTCATGACCGGTAAGGGGATTGCAACCCTTGGTATGGTGCCACCCGCACCGCGCTCAGCCAGTGAGTGAACGCACTGGCCATTCCTATATAGGATCTGAACCCGTGGCGGGAGCGTCGTTGCGCTCCCAGTGCCGCACTCTCCCGAGTGCGCCACGGGGTCAGCCCATGATCACATCTTAAAAAGCTACTTTCTCATGTAATTAAAGGTCAACAATGCATGGGTAGTATAAGAAAGCTGAGAGGGTTGTAGAACAAGTCAACATTGCCCCCTTTTCTCCCAATTCCATCAACCTGTCATCCCAAATATCTCCCACCCCTGTAGTTACAAATTTAGATTTCATTTAAAGGGATGAATTTTTATACATGCTACTATCCTCTCTTCAACAAAATTGGGGAGCAACATGTTTGGGGAAATTGTTTTTAAAATACAAACATTAAAACGGACCTCTAGGATTAAAAATAATAACCAGAAGCTAAACTACTGTTTTAAATTATTTGTAATACCAAACAAAATGCTATAGTGTTTTGAAACTATGGAGAATCATAGCAATTACTGTAAAAGTTTTAGACTAAAAATAAAAAGCTAATACTAAATCAGCAAATTTCTTTTAAGAATCTGCAGCACATTTAAATAGGTCATGACATTTCTAAAAATTAATACACATATATTCCTTAGCATTTATGTAGTACTTTTTACCTATAAACAGCTTTGCAACCAGTAGAATAGCAACGTTTTAGAAAAGCAACCAGCAGTCTTCTTATATTAAAATTTACAGCAGGAAAAAGCAGGGAAAGCATTAGACCATTTTTCTCAAGGTTCCATTAATTCTAACAGGCTACAAAAAAAAGCCAGGCACATTTGCCCTTTCAAAGGTTCAGAATTAAAAATAAACCTCTTGGCTTAAAGTACATCAAGTCAATGCCATTTGATAACCCAGCCTTTACAAAATATCTGATTTCATAAAGATCAGTATCTTCAAATGGACGCTCTTACAATAGTAATAAGGACCTACTGTTTTCCAATATAGCAGACGATGATAGCAAACCTATTAAAGGGATCTTGGTACATATTTCAATTTATTTACAGCAACTATGGAAGTCAGATAAAAAGTAAACAAAAAATCTGGAGTCAAGAAATTTACAATCCACTCCTAGCTCTACTACCACTATCTATCTAACACGGTTCTGAAGACCAAATGAGGTCATGAATGATATACAATCTATAAATTGTTACATGTATAATATTTCTTAGATGACCTCTAAGATCACTTCCAACTCTGAAATAACTCTATTACATATCCAGAATCCAACCTGGAAAGCACAAATAAACAAAATGGTGGTGGGCCGGGGTAGAGCTGGGTGTGGGGGGCAGAATGGATAATGATAATTATCACAATGCTGGCACAGCAGCAGGACAAAGCCCAAGGAATAGTAATTGAACACAGTCACTACCTTTTGGAGATGTCTACCCAATACATTTTCTATAAAATTATCCTCTAGTCGCACAGAAAGGCTCACCCTTAGCAGCCAGATTTATACTCTGTGAACCCACTCCTGTTGTTACAGGCAATGGGACCAGGGGTGCTCACCGACCTAGGAAAGGCAATCAGATTCTCTTTTCTGGGAATATGAAATTGGGACTGAAAAACAGTTCCCAAGCATGTGGCTGGAACTAAAAGACATGTAAATTCAGGAGCTAGAGGGCAAATAGACATCTTCTGCCATGTATACAAAAAAAAAAAAAAAAAAGAAAGAAAAGAAAAACGATATAAAAAGGAATAAATGAAATGTGGTGTATATATACACACACAGAGGAATGTTATTCAGCAATACAAAGGAATGAAGTAGTAATACATGCTATGACACAGATGAACCTTGAAAACCGTATGCTAACTGAAATAAGCCAGATACAAAAGGCCACATATTGTATGATTCCATTTACATGAAATGTCAAGAATACGCAAATCTATATTGGCAGAAAGATGAACGGTTGCCTACAGTTGGGAGGAACAGAAGGATTGAGGGAGGTTTCTTTGGGAAATAATGAAAATGTCCCAAAACTGATTGTGGTGATGGTTGCAAACTATGAATATGCTAAAAGCCACTGAACTGAACACTTTAAATAGATGGATTGTATAGTGCATGAATTATACCTCAAAAAAGCTGTTAAAAAAAGAAACAGAACCAATCTGAGTCTCTTTCCACCCAACCCTTTTCCTTTTTTGACCACTAAGAAAGGACACAATGTATCCTTTAAGAGGAAAAACTAGAATGCTCACACCCTGGGTTTTCTTCCTCCTTTAAGCAATATTTTTAACCTCAATTTCAGAAGCCCCTAATTGAATACAAACCTCTCTAACTTTCTGTGCCTCTGAAGCAACTCTTTGCACTGTTGTAAAACAAATGTTAAATTCCTGAATGATGGAAGGATATAAGCTGTTGAAGTCCAGAAGCAAAATGAACTTATCATAAAAACCTGAAATGAAAAGCCACAAAATGTCATGAAAAGTCTGAAGAAAAGCAGAATTGTCAAAACATATTAGAAGTACTGTACTATGAAGTATATTATAAACTACAGTATATATTATCCATGGCTGTAAGGCAGAAGGAAAAAAAAGAATTAATTATCACTCCATAAAATAACTTGGATTACAGTGAAAACCCAGATCACAAAAGAAGAGGGATGAAAAGATCCTGGCTTTCCTTGGAACCAGCTACAACCAGTCCTTTCCCCAGCAGTCCCCAAAGCACACCATTATTATGGGCAAACACCTTCCCATATCAATTATTTTAGAGAGGTATCATATCCATTTCAAAAAAATGTTAAATTCTCCTTCAAACAGGCATTCCCTCACACCTACTCTCCCACTTCTGCACCAAATAAGGCCCCAGTGAGTGGTTATATACTTTTTTTATAACCATCCTTTTAAAGAATAAAGTGAGCAGCACATTTATACATAAACTGTGTTAAAAATCAGACAAAACATATATATATTTACATATATATAAAACATTTATATATATATAAATCTATATATATATATAAAGACATATATATATGAGACATATTTATATATATAAATGTCAGTAGTGGAACGATCCACCCTTTTTACCTGCAAAGGGTGAACAGAAAGCTACTATATTTCTCTAGGACATTTACAAAGAGTTATCTTCACCTTAAGAAGAAACTGAATAAAAATAAATGTCCACTATTAAGACAGTAGTAACGACTGCAAACATATATTGATAGCTTACTCTGTGTCAGGCACTATACTAAATATCACTGTTATTCCTTAAACCCGTGTGGCAGATAGTACTCTTATTTCTATTTTACAGAAGAGGAAACAGAGGCTTACAGAAATTAAACAGGGAGTCCAAGATCACACTGTCAGAATTCAAACCCAGATCTATCTAACACCAAAGTACTACTGTTGTTTCATTACAACTAATAATAAAATCACTTTTGTCAAAAATGCCTCCTACTCAGAGTTCAAGTTACTTAATGAAATTCACATGCATTTTTGCACAATGTGAATATCCTTAACACTACTACCAAACTGTACACTTGAAATTAAGATGGTTTTCTTAAAAAGATCTTTTCTAGGGCCGGCCCGGTGGCGCACTGGATAGTGCGCCGCTTGGGAAGCGCGGTGGCGCTCCCGCCCGAGGGTTCGGATCCCACATACAGACCGGTTCCCGCTCACTGGCTGAGTGAGGCGCGGGAGCAACACCGAGGGTTGCAATCCCGTTGCCGTTCCCCGGTCCGGTACGGGGGCAACACTGAGGGTTGCGATCCGTTGCCGGACACGGAAAAAAGACAAAAAAAAAAAAAAAAAAGATCTTTTCTAGCTGTGTACCACAAAACATCTTCATTGCCATTCATGACAACACGGAAAAGTTATTCTCCTCTTGAAGACGATTTGGTAGATACTATCTGTACTTTCTTTTACTTTGTTGTCCAACTGAACTGTCCTAGCACACTGGGCAGAGCCCACAGTCACAGAGTAGATGAAAGAAGACAGAGGTGTTCCTACCACTGGACCAATGGTTAGCTATATACTGGACCAGGGATTGGCAAACTATGTGCAGACCAAATCCAGCCTACTCCCTGTTTTTGTACCATCCATGAGCTAAGAATAGTTTTTAGATTCTAAATAGCTAGACAAAGTCAAAACCAATAATATTTCATGACAATAAAAATTACCTGAAATTTAAATTTCAATGTCCATAAACAAAATTTTATGGGAACACAGCAAAAAAAAAAAAATTCACATTAATTCCATGTCAGATGACTGGCAAACAAGATTTTCACATGAACAAAAGATAAAAAAATAAGGTCATTATGAGACCTATTTGCTGACCTACAAGATACAGTCCAGGTCTTCGAGTTTCTCAAACCTAGCTCTATATTAAGAAATTCCTTAACACCAGAAACAGACCAATCTGCTGCCCAGCCTTACCAACTTTGGGGTCCAAAACCAAGCCTCCAGCATAAGCTGCTTTCTTACGTCCTTTCTTGTATTTATTGATATCTCCAATTTCTTCATCTTCATCTCCCTAATATCAAATGAAAAGATAATTTCACCAGCCAGCAACTAATTAAATAATTAAGAAGTTTTATGATTCTCTCTTTTCCAATTGCAATACTCAGTTCTAACAGACACTATTTTCCTACCTGTGGGAAAAGACAATTATTATTAATATGTTCATGAATCCAAATGAATGCCAAACATGGTAGTTTTCTAAACAAATACTATATCTCTGAGTTAACAAATACTCAAATTCTGGGCCGGCCCGGTGGCGCACTCGGTAGAGTGCGGTGCTTAGAAGCGCGGCAGCGCTCCCGCCGAGGGTTCGGATCCCATATAGAGACCGGTCCGCTCACTGGTTGAGTGCGGTGCGGGCGCGACACTGAGGGTTGCGATCCCGTTACTGGTCATGAAAAAAGAAAAAAAAAAAAAAAGGAACAAATACTCAAATTCTATTTTTAAATGTTTCTGAATTCATAGAAATTTCTTATTTTTAAATGAACAGACGTTAAAAATACAATTTTTTATATTATGTAAAATTTGAGATTGTAAAAGGATCCTCCATAAAGTCACTACTCTAACATTTATAACATACAAACATGAAATATTTCATGTAGGCATTATCATTATTCTCATTATTCATATGGACACTATAAAATAAGTATGTCTATATACTGAAAATTCATTCCCAAGTAGTTTATTAATAGCAAATATTCAATACCACAGAAGTTAAATTCAAATGCCCTATAGAAATTTTGATAATGTGCATAAAACAAGCATATACAAGAAACTGAATCACATTTTAACATTCAATTCTCATTCTAAATCAATTACTATCAGTGCTGATAAAACAGTAGCTAAACTAAGTTTCAGTTCCAATGTGAGGAAGACCATTTTAGAAAACTTACTGTTAATTGTAACTAGTACAAAAAAATGCAATCCGAAAATAAAGGCTCATAGGTTCAAGGAAATAAAAGGTTTGATTAACTGGCATTTAACTTCTGGTATGGCTAAAGTGGCAAAACATTTTCCACATATCCATAAGAGAAGTCTAATGACTCCCTTAAAGAATGACGTATTTCAGGGAATTCTGGTCAAGATGGCGGAACAGACAGTCCCCAGCATCACTCTCTCCCACAAATCAACCAATTTACAACTATAAAAATGTAGCGACAGCCAAACTGGGGCTGCTGGAGCTCAGGGGAAGAGGAGGAGAGACCTACAGAGTTCATGAAAGTGGGGAGAAGCCACAATGAGAGAAAGAAAAAAACCGCTCGGAGTGTTTTGGGCCACAGCAGCTTTAAGGCTGGAACTGCTGAGCGCATTGAGCAGGAGCTGACAGAAGCTGCAGCTGTGCCCTTCGGCTGGAATTGCTTGGAGGCAGCAGGGGAGAAGAGGGTCTTGGTGGCCCCCAGGACAGCAAGACCACTAACAGGGTTCCTGTGGATTCACGCAAGAGTGAGGAGCCAGAACAGCTGAAAAAGGGGAGCCATTCAGAGGCCGGTGAGTCATTGCGAGGAACTGGAGCAGGGCCTGTCCCATGGGAAGTGTTTGGAGCACACGTGGTGGTAGAGACAGGCCCACCAGGAGAACACTGGGACACAGCAAGGACAGTTGACCCACACCCCAATCATTGCAGGACCACTCAGAGGAGACTGGTCAGGAATGCAGAATTGCATGGGATACAGTTTGATGAAAAGATTCAGGCCCAGATCAGAGCTTCTACAAAACCCAGGAGTACCTGGTCTCTGGAGAGCAGGAAGTACCTATAAGGTCAACCATTAAACCCTGAGCTGCACAAAAAGTCTTCCCTAGGGAAACAGCAGCAAAGCAGCAATTTAGCTCAACAACACAGCTGAAGTACTGGTTCCCACAGGAAGTTCCCCCATTTTAGAAGAAAAGGACAAAAAACTAGTTCTGGCCCAGGCACACCATCAGCGCCTCAGGGCCCTGCTTGGGGCATGGAGCCAGGGACCAGACACCCCGCCCACAACCAGGCACACCAACAGCGCCTTGGGACCCGATCGGGAGCCCGGGGCATGCAGCCAGGGACCAGACACCCCACCCACAACCAGGTACACTGCCAGTGCCTCAGGGCCCCACCCAGGGACCCAGGCCATCAAGCCAGAGACCAGACCTCCCGCTCAATACCAAGCACACCACCAGCACCATGGGGCCAACCCAGAGACCCAGGGTATGGATCTGGGGACCAGACCCCTCCCACAAACAGGCACACCACCAGTGCCAAGGAGCATGCCAAAAACATCACCTCCATGTGGGTGGCCCACCACAGCCACTACAATAACCAAGGCTGCCACGAAAGTGGCTAGACGTCACAACCACCATGCGGATGATCCGCCAGCAACTGTAGTGCATTGACACAAGGAGAGTCACCAGTAGAGACCAAAGCAAAGAGTAGGATCTCTCTCTCCACAAAGCCCATTCCAGAGTGACAGAAGAAGCATCTGCTCTATGATACTGGGGGACCTGAACACACCTTTCAGCATTGGAAAGATCATCTAGGCAACAAATCAACAGAGTAACCATTACTCTTTCAGAGGGAGAGAAGAAATCTAGGGTTATCAGTTGTGGGAAGGGGGAGGGAGAGGGGGATACGGAGAGATTGGACAAGGGGCATAAAGAATAAGTACAATTTATAACAATATACATACTAATAATATTGATTTGATCAACATATGTCAACACTGAATCCTAAAAATATGTATAATCAATTATGATTCAATAAAAAAATTAAAAAATAAAAAAGGAATTACATATTTCACAAATAATTTTGTCTGTACAGAAGAGAAGTGGAAAAGAAAATGACAACACAAACACAACGGAACAAACATGAGAGTTTCTACAGTACACAGGGGATTAGTTATTTTGGAAGCAAATGTTATCACAGCAAAAAAAAAAAACCCTAGAAAAACTAGGTAATAAAAAGAGCGGATAAGAAAAGGCAAAAAAAAAAAAAAAAAAAAAACTCTATACAATTATGGACCCACCAGTTTTTGCTGAGGCTTTCCGAAAATCTGCTTGTCAGGCACGATATAATTGTTTTCATAAAATGCATGAAGCAACAAGAACTCATTACGTTCGGATCTTCCACCCATCAGAGTCCTGGACTATTAAAAAGAATTTCATTCTTAAATTTGAGTTCAAAACCATAACAAACAAAAGCAACTTTGAGTTGATAAATTTAATCATAGCACCTCCTTCAAAACTACTCCTAATAACAAGGGCTGCTTTAAGAAAAAAAAAAGGTACTAAATTATACCTAACAATTTCTTTAAACATTATATTTAAAGCAGACAAAGAGAACTTAAAATATTGACAACTTGAAGCTGGCTATTTCTCCTAAACGGACCATTCTACCAAAAAGACACATCCAGATGTTAAGAGAGATGACCCTTATGTTTACGCAAATTTCAACACACTGCACCTGGCATTCCTCCCCTTCTCCCAACCAGTTCTTCCCTTTACAAAAGAAACCCAGCTTTCAGAGTCCAAGTCACCCATTTTATAAGCATGCATTTAGACTCATTATCATATAACAACTACCCCAAGCAAACACTGAATCCAACAGGAAATGCTTTCTCCCCCTTTCTAAGTTAAATTTACCATAATGTTCCCAGCGATGTTAGTGATCTGCAATGCTAGTGGAAGAACATTTAGCTCACACATGATCTGTAAAATGAACCTGGCATCTTTCCAGGTGTGTTCCAACAGGTACAACAGATGAGAAGGTTCACTGTACAGAAAAGTAAGAATGAAACAGAATCAAGTAATTAAAAGAAACAATGACTATAATCAGAACCTCATAAAATATTACACGGAATTTTTGGTATAAGTAACTTCAGAGCAATGACACTCGGCTTTGGAAACAATTTAAAATATAGTTGGTATGTAACTAGGAATTCATTCAAACCAGTGATCCCAATGCCCTTCTCCAACATACAAAAAAATCCCACTAAGCGAAGTAATGTATTAACTACAAACCTGAAAACTACCTAAATCCTTCCATTCATTCAAACCTGAAAACTACCTAAATCCTTCATTCTATCTAGTAAGTATATATTGTATGCTTACAATGTGTTGTTAATTTATATTGGCTGTGACCAAAACAGACAAAAATTCCTGTCCTCATGGAGCTTACATCTTCATGGGGGAGACAGAGTATAAAAAAGATAAATAAATTAACAATACACTGTACCCCACAAATATATGTTAAGTAAATGTTAAAAAAGAAATTAAATATATAGTATGTTATATAATACTAGGTGTTAAAGAGAAAAAGTTAAGAAGCAAAGGAAATATTAAATAGCAGGAGCACAGACTGAAATTTCAGTTAGGGAACTGGGGAAGTTTTCACTGAGAATAAAGACCTAGAAGATGTGAGGGAGCAAGCCTTATGAATGGATATCTAAGGGAAGAGCATTCCGGGCAGACAAAACAGTACATTCACAGGCCCTTAGCTGGATGCAAATCTGGCAGTTCCAGGACGAGGAAGGAAACCAATATGGCTGGATCAGAGAGAATGATGAGAGAGTGGTAGGAGATAAGGACAAAGTTAACAGCACAGAAACACTTTGTGTGGGACCCTGTAAATCAAAAATAGGACTTTGGTTTTTAGTCTAAATGAAACAGAGTCACTGAAGATTTTGAGAAAAGTGCCATATCTGACTTAATTTTAGCAGAATAACTCTGGTCCTGGATTAAGAAGAGAACACAAGGGGGCAAAGGCAAAAGCAAGGAGATAAGTACATCTCTAGTGACCCAGCAGAAAGAGGATAATGGCTTGCACCAGAGTGGGTCCAATGGAAGTGAAAAGTGGTCATATCTAGATATATTTAGAAGACAGAGTTGACAGGATTCCCTGATGGATCTACTGTGAGACGTCAGAGAGAGGAATCAAGGATGCCTCAGAGGTTTGGGGCCGAGGGTGACTTTGGAGGTTTCCAGCAGTAACAGAAAAATACAGTTGCCATTAATTTAATAAGGAAAGATTACAGGAAGAACCTAAGGGAGAAGTCTGGCATTCATGAGGGAGGGCTAACCCGAAGGTACACAGGTGAGAGGCATCAACGCCCACGTGGTATTTAAATCCCTAAGATTTGGTAAGATCACGTAGAGATGGAACACAGTTTTAAAAGTAAAGCACTCCAAGGACTCAGTAGAAACAAGCAGGAAATAAGAAATGGCAGAGGAGTAGAAGAAATTTTATTTAAGAAATAAGCAAGCAATATCTCTAAATAACCTAGGGCCAGCCCATAGCTCACTTGGGAGAGTGTGGTGCAGATAAATAATCTAATGATTGCTCAGTTTGTATATTTCCAAAATATATACACTAATTCCTGAATAAATAAAGGGTGGAAATCTAAATTTCACATCAATTTCCAAACTACTGTTAGGAAACATTAAGACAGAGTTAAACAGGTTAAGGAGATGGAGATAAACTGATCAAATTAGAATAATTCAAGGGGTAAACTAGTTCAAATTAGGAAAGTAATGGTGCTGACATGACACAATTTTCCCCTCCATAGCAAGCACCACTGGCTCGGCTTATATCCCCCTAAGCCTAAGAATGATGTTGGCATCCTGCTGTTTCTAATTTCAACACAGACAAACTCTGAAGAATCCAGGATCATACCTGTACATATTTTGCACATCTTCTATTGGGATTACAACCCTTTCAGTTCTCAGAATCTGTTGAACAAGTTCAGACAAATGGTAGCTTTTACAACGAATCAATTCCCTTGCTGAGATTTCCACATCACAGATCATTCGGCCACAGGTAGCATTTCTTTCACCAAATCCACTCCGGCCCTACAAGATGAGTACAAAAAGCAAATCTTATGAAAGAGCAGACAGAGAGAACATTTCATTCTAACCTATTTTGAAGCTGGCCCAAAATTACAATGATGAAACTCTCATTCTTCTATTTAACAATCAGATATTTTTAAACATTTACTATGTATCTGACACTGTACTAGGCACTTGGGATGTAGCAGTGAACAAAACAGAAAAGATCCCTGACCTCATTTGAGATTTATTATAAAAACAGATATCATAAATAAGAAATCACACAGTTTTAGGAGGTAATAATTATATTGAAAAGGGAGAAAATAAAGCAGCGTGAAAAGAACAAGGAATTTGGGGGGACTGCATCTTAAATAGGGTGGCTGAGATAGACCTCACTGAGAAGATGCCATATAAAGAAAATCTCGAAAGGAGTAAGGAGTCAGCTAATCAAGTTTTCAAATAAAGTGTTAATAACAAATCTACCACCTTAAAGATATGACTAGGAAAAGAGGCAAGAGCAGTGGCCCCAACTCTGATCTATAGCAACACAATCCTCTAGAGAACATTATAAAAGGCAGATTCTTAAGTTCTACAATGAAGCAACATGCCCATTTTATTTATAAGCTTTAAGTAAAATAAGATTGCAAGCACTGAATAGTATCAGGTTTAGGAAGAAGGTGCTTCGTAAAAAAACCACCAAAACCTCCACACATGAAGCAAGCAGGTAGAATGAAAAGTACGTGTGCTTTAAGAGTCAGACAGGCCTGGGTTCAAATCTCAGTTCTTACTAGTTGTATGATCTTGAACAAGTTACATTACCCCTGTGAGAATGTCTATAAAATAAAATTGGAGTTGCCATGAGAGGTAACTAGCACAGAAAGCACTTAGCCCGTTGCTTTCTTATACATGCAATGTCAGCTCCCTTCCATTCATTCTTCCCATTCTTCCTGAATAGCAGCACTCCATGATTTCTGAACCCTGCAACCCTACCCAAAGGGCTATCATTTTGGGAATGCCGAAGTGAAGGCATCATGTATGTGCTGTCTTTGTCCACTATTCCTAAATTCTAACTGCTGATTTTAAAAACTACCAGAGGCTTTTACAAATAAAATGCTGGATTCAAAGGAAAAGATGTTTAGTGCTAATTAAAACGTATTGAAGTTCCTATCACAAGACAACCAATTCCTATTTTAAAAAGTATAGTGTGTTTTCTGGCAGCTACCCAATATAAAAAAGCCAAATAAAGAAACAAGATTTTGAAAATTGTTATTACCCCAAGCTTTGGCATGTTGGATCGCTTCAGTCGACCTATCTTGGACCAGTGAGAAACTTTGCACACATTAATTCTCTGAAGTAGTACTTCCAGTTCAAACCCATAAATATTATGACCCTAGTGAGAAAAAGGTGGCAGCCAATAATGTTATAACAAACACAAATTAGAGGATTTATCTTCATACTCACAGGATCTCTTTGCCCTTTCTTTTTCTGGTCTCTAATTGAAGACATCATGAACTTATCTCCAATTGGGGGTCCTTTTCTTCTTCAGGAATTTATTCATCAAGCAGCGTTCATTAGCCTTGACATTAACAAGGCTGCTAAGCAGACTGCTGAAATAAACTTTATTTCATCCTAATTGGTGTAAGGTTCATATGATGTCTTTTAATTTGCAGCTCATGCCTCAAAATCTCAGAGGCAAATGCAAATTTTAATGTCCCATTCTTTTCACATCATCAGAAAAAGCTGTTCAACATTCAATTCAAACATTTTGCTTTCTTAAAAAGAGAACTCGCCTATGTTGTGTAATAGTATACATAAGACTTCTTAGAAAACTCAAGAACTATAGTTTCTTCTTAAAAAATTTAGTTCAAACACTACTGATTTAGACCTTTAATCAATGTGCAATAAAATATATATATAATACCACTGAATAGTTCAAACGAGAAACTTGTTAAAAACAAGGAAACAAAATTGTATAAAGCAGAAAATATCTCAAAAATGCAACCAGATTTTTCATTTCTATAATAATTTCTATCATGTGAATAACATGGTTCACAGCCTACATTAATTAAAAATTAAAGTTTAAAATAATTCAGATCAGTAAACAGATTTACTTGTTATTAATTTTAATTAAAAACACATACTACTACTTAGACTAGTCAAAATTATAAAGACAAAAAGTGGAATGGTGGCTTCCAGGGGCTGGGGAAATGGAGAGTTAATGGGTAGAGTGTTTCATTTTTACAGGATGAAAGAGATATGAGGCTGAATGATAGTGATGGTTGCACATTATGAGTGTAGTTAATACCACTGAACTGTATGTACACCTAAAAATGGTCAAGATGGTTAGTTTTATGTTATGTGTATTTTATCACAATAAAATATATATATATATACCACTATATATTTATGACAATTTGTCTATTAAATTAAAAAACCCAAAAGACACAAGGAAGTGTCAGTTCCAAATTACCATGCCTGGGATCACGGGCCAAAACCCACGTCAGAATTCTATCTTTCATCTGGATTTCTCACACATAGACTTGGTTTTAACACTCTAAGCTGGGCCACATATCCTACCATGATATCTCCTTGGGGTCCAAGATGTAGTTATTGGAGACTGGTGACAGCCTAGTACTGAGCCTGAGTGCCATAGTACAGCACTGTGGACAGAATCTCCTTAGTGCTTTAAAGATGGGTCCTGAAATATTGTAAGGGAAGCACATACAGAGACATCAGTTACAATCCACAGGCTCTCAGGACGTTAGCTATACCATTGCCAGGTAAGGTATTCAAGCGTAAAAATGAACATGGAGAAGGATATGGCAAACATTTTTCCAGCCTTCCATGTAACCAAATAGCTGATATCACATTTAAAATGGAGGCATTTATAGACAACCTTCTTCCAAAAAAACAAAAACACAACATAATTTGATTGACCCGTTACCCAGAAAAATGACAAAAGGAGGAATTCCTATTAAGGAGCCTACAAACTAAGAAAAGCCAGAGGATACATAAAGCAAAACGTTGCTTCATGACTCTTAGGAATTGAGGCAAAAGCAACCAATTTATTATTAGCTCTCGCTGTGTAGCGGAAGCATACCAGGTCATCAAGAGAAAAAAAGATTCCTAGCCCTGAGCTCTCAAAGAGATCCACTGTCATAGAAACCCACTAAGCTCATAAAATTAAGATACTTAGTTTTATGATTTACACCAAACTAAGGGGATTAACTAACCCCTGTGACCACTATATGACTGGGCCACTAAGCCAAAATTGTGGAGATACTAACAGCTTACGTACATTTACTTATGTGCTGGTGTCTAAATGTAAATAACTGGAGTATCCTGAACTTCAATAATAATTCATGAGTTGCTTTACGTTAAAAATGTATCTTGCAGTGGGCTGGGATTTTTTTTCCCTTTTGATTAGGAGAAAGTATAGTAACGCCCACCAGTCCATAGTGTCATTTCACTCTGAAAATATTCTTTGCTGCTCAAAAGTACTGACAAAATCACACTGAAAAGAACTAAAGAATGAAGAGCTCCCCCGTGACATGATCAAACATCTACTCACCACAATGATATCAGGATCAATTTTGTGAACTTTTGCAAGGAAAAAACCTAGCAATGTTCTTTCCGTTGCAGCAACCTCAGCCTTCACTTTCTGTTAGACAAAAACATACCAATCATTAACTCTTCACTCTCAAGTACTATACCCTGGCTTCTTGTTCAACCAGGCTAAGATTTCTCAGGGTTAAAAGAAACCATCCATTTCAAAACTAAATGCAGCAGTGAAATTCCTCATTCTATGTTTTGTAGTAATAATTGCACAAAGGCTCTGAGGAGCTCATTCTAGTAATAAGCATGTGAATAAAGCAAAATTTAAGTGTTGAGCAACATCAAGTACAGAAATATCCTCCACAGGGACATGCTAGCTCATCTGAACACATTTTAGAGTATATGAATCAGAGTACCAATCAGAAACATTACTTCCTTTCCTATACAATCCCTGGTAGATTTCACCATTTATGTATTTACCACACAAAGAAATCCCAAAGACTGTATAAACTAATCTCAAACAGTGGTATAAGAACCAATAAATAAGAAACTAGAGTAAAAACAAACATATTTAAGATTTAGAAACATTTCTTTACACAAAAGGCTTCCACTTGGATTACTGAATATAAATCAGGTATTCAAAAGATCCACTCTTATTAAAAATCTCTTAAAATGCAAGTTGATGACGACATGTTTTCTACAACTAGCCTGGTTAAAATATGTCACTTTGACTGCAATGAAATTTTCCTCCATTATTTCACTTGGACAGGTAATTCAGGGTACTTCATAAATAATAGCTTAATCCAATAATGCCCTCAACTACTGGACTTCTCAAGCCAATTTAAAATAAGTGAACCTGACAAAGTTGCTAACTTTTAATTCTGTCAAGCGAGGACATTAAAACACACACAAAAATAATGTACAAATTAATCAAAACCATCATTTCATAAGAGAAACGACATAGTCTCCAAAAAAAGAAATTCTTTAGATTGAATACATTTACCTTTGTGAAAACCTCACTACATTATACAGGTTGTAAGTATCCCTTATCCAAAATGCTTGGGATCAGAACTGTTTCGGATTTCAGATTTTTGGGAGGTTTTGGAATATTTGCATTTATTCTTACTGGTTGAGCATCCCTAATTTGAAAACCCGAAATCTGAAATGCTCCAATAAGCATTTCTACTGAGCATTATGTCAGCACTCATAAAGTTTCAGATTTTGGAGCATTTCAGATTTCAGAATAGGGATACTCAACCTGTATGACTTTTTCTAATTTTATTAAAGACCCATGGACTATACCAGGACTTAGAGATCACTGATCTATTTTGGCCAGCCCACATCAAACTTGCCAATACGTGGCCCTTTAACATCCACTGTATTCCCAATTTCACCTGGCTTCCCTCAAGCTGGAGAGGGGCTCTACCCAATACCTTCCCCCCAAAAGCAATCACATGATCATGCATTTTGGAAAAACTTCCAATTAAGCTATCTGAAGGAGGGTTTAAGCCTGTCCATCTACTAACACCATGTAGAATCCCATTACTTTCAGGTGGTGGAACATTTAAATGTTGGTAAATAATATTTCTAGTTTTATACTTCTAATACATTTTAATGGGTTAATACCATACTCCAATCTAGCAAGAATAGAGCTAAAATATTAAAATATAGAACAGCCTTTTTCTATTAGTCCATACTATCCTCTTTTCTCTTTCCAAACAAACAGATGCTTCATATTTAAGAGGAATGAATAATGTGTTCTTTACCTTTTTCTTAATGGCTTCTATGAAAGCATATGGAAAAATACAGTCCTTTGGTTTAGACACAACTGTAAAAAGAAAAAAATAAAGATTCCAACACCCATTCAGTCCAATTTCAGGTACACGTACACTGCATGTTTCCAGTGGAAAATATCTTAAATATAAATAAATTCCCCCCAATCCCTAAAGAGGTCAATTATTTCCACTGGTCATGTTAAACCTCAAAAGAAGAGCCAAGCACAAAACCCTAAGTCCCTACTTTTGTTAAAACTGCTTTGATGAAACATATGCTATCCATTGAAGTCAAAATGGAGGATTATAAGTCTTTCCCAAAGAAAACACCCCCACCACCAAAGCCCCAACCAGCATACAATGGAGGAACTCGGTTCAACCCTTCTCAAAGTTAGAAAAGTAAAGATGAACAATGCTTCCCCTACACTATGTTCCTTGCCATACCTAACAGCTATTCAGAGTGACATACACAGAGGAGGTAAATAAATGCATATTGAAATGAACTAACGACTGCTATCTTCCATATATTTTCCAGGCTATTCTCATTGTCATTTGGTTACATATGTTCCACCCACTTAAGTAAAACTTCAAAACATTCACACCTCATTCTCTTCTCTGCATCTTTCCTAGTCCTACCTTCCCAACACCCAAGAAACCTGACAGGAGAGGCTGCCCAAGTAAATCTCTGGTTCTGGGCTAGAGATCCCAGAAAACATAATAGATCAATAGTGTTATCCCTCCCCCTTTTTTTAAAAAACAACAAAACTTTTAACTGGCCAAACTCTCAATGTGGAATATGTCAGAATCTTCCTTGGAGACTGACTCATATATGCCAAATTCTGTGGAACTGTTTCACTCATTGAATTTTATGCACAGCACAAACCAACTCCAATTTGATATTACTGTAATTCCTCCCAAATAGGAACACTCATTTATTCCTTATATTCCTTGGTCTCTTGCCTCATCACACAAAAACTCTGGCCAGATTTCTATGATGGGCTTTTTGAATGACACCAGGAAATGAAAATAGTTAAAGCCTAATTTTGACTTAGGAAAAAACTACTCAATACCAATAGAGTAACCACTAGAACAGAAAAAAGACATCAAATTGCCTCCAGATTTCTGCTCCTAGAACAAAATAAACCAACTGAATAGGAGACAACCAATCCAGTAAAACTTGGTTTTCACAGCTGAAAAAAAAATTTCTTTAACAATATGAACTAACTATTCTTGAAAACAATTTTTGAAAAACAAGTTACTGATCCACCAGCTGGAGATAAATAAGAAAGCTCAAATCAAGCCTTTAGTAAACATACCACAGAAGTGTGACTGAAAGGGAGGCTGTGGGGGTGCTTTATCTAACGCAAAACTGTGATGGACCAAAGCTGCAATGGCAATAATCTGCAAGGAAAGGAGGGAAAAAAAAGTCACTTATTAGACACCTACTATGTATTCTGCATTCTCACCAAAACTACCAAGAATATTAAAAGATATACATTTTAGTACATATGAATACTTTTAACTTTTTATTATGAAAATATTTAAACAAATTAAAAAATAGAATAAAATTAACTCCCATATACCAACCATCCAGTTTTGATAATCAACTCATCTATATCCCAACCCACTTCCTGCCTTCCTCTGGATTATTTTGAAGAAAAACCTAGACCTATCATTTTATCCAGAACTATTTCAGCATGAATCTCTAAAATAGGGTTTCTCAACCTCGGTACTATTGACATTTGGGGCTAAATAATTCTTTGTTGTGGTGGCTGTCCTGTCCACTGTAGGGTGTTTAGCAACGTCCCCAGCTTCCACCCACCAGACACCAGTATTACCATCCCCCACCACCCCATCACTGTTTCCAGACATGGTCAATTGTCCCCTCAGAGGCAAAAATCTGACCCTGTTGAGAACTACCACTCTAACAGATAAGAAGTTTTCAAAATATAATCACAATACAATTATCTCACCTAATACAATTAATAGTAATCCCTTAAAATCATTAAATATCCAGTCATGATTTAAATTTTCATGTTTTCCAAATTATCTCAATTTTATTTACCAAATAAGGTCCATACTTTGCAAGTGACTGATCAATATCAATCAGGTACATCCCACCCCACCTATCATTTCCTTGCAATTTATGTGTTGAAGAAACTGGGTCATCTGTCCTATAGAGGACTCCATAATATGGATTCTGCTGCCTGTATCCTGATAGTGTCACTTGACTGCCTATAAATTCATAGTTAGATCTTAAGACTTGATGAAAACCAGGTTCAATTTTTTGGCAAGAATACTTTAGAAAGCACAGGCACATGATGTCTGCTCATCTCTATTTTAGTGATATTAGCAGTCACTAGTGATCACTGTCTGTATCCATTATTTCACTGGGGACTGCAATACTGCAATATAATATTCCATTTTTCCTTCATCATTTATTAGCTGGAAACCTGCTATGAAAAAAAAAAACTTCCACTCATCAATTATTTGGTTGCCTGAGGTACAGTATTTGCCCAGAAAACTCAGGATAAATGTGTTCAGAAGAGTCAGGATAAATACTCAATTCAATCCCTTTACCAGTTTTCAAAATAATGAGTTGATTCCCTAGCTTTCTTTGCAAGTTACCAATGTGGAGTTGTTACTGTTAATAATATCATTATGAACTCATAGATTTGATGTGTTTCAATCTGTTGCAGTTATTCATGCTCAGATTAACCCATCTTTGGTCAGTAAGAGACTCTTCAAGGTGACTCCTAAGTCCTTCTTACATATCTTCAGTAGATTTCAATATCATCCCTGCTTTCTGGTATAGCAAGATGTTCCAGACTTTCTTGCCCTGTATCAGCCATTTCTCCACAGAACCCTATTTCCTTTATTAGGAAATGGTACGTGGAACCTCACTCTGGGCACTAGGGGATGGATTCTTTTTTTAATTTAACTAAATACTAATTAAATCCTTTCCAAACACTTAACTATTAACTATGGCCATCTCCTATATTAAAAAATCAAATCACATACTAAAAAAAAAAAATCAGAGTGAAAACACTGCCAATATGCTGTTAAAAAAATATCCCCATCAACGTCAAAAAGACTTAGAAGCAAACATAAAGAAGCTCCCATTGACCAAAGTGGGACAAATGTAAGCATTAAAAATAATAATAATGAATACAATAGAGTAAAACTACTGAATATATATAAAACCCATGTGTTAATAATGATATTCCATAAAAGTAAAAAGAAAAATAAAAAGGACAACAAAAATAAATAAAGCATTAGTTGCTACTGCATGTAATGTAGGTCCTCAATTTCTTACTTGAAAAATTGGCAATGAAAGAGAAAGAAATAAGCATTTATCCTGTCTTTCCTGTGTAAACTACTATAGCATAACCAAATAATGCTGGTTAATGAAGAAACATTAATTTTATAGAAAATTTTAGCTAATAGAAAGCCACCATTTTACAACTCCTAATGAAATAACTAATTCAGGCAAAAACAACTAATAAATGAAGCCATTATACCAGTGGTTCTCAACTTGGAATGATAAATGATTTTATCCCACCCTCCGTCAGCCCCCTACCCCCCGGGGACATTTGGTGATGTCCGGAGGCATTTTTTGGTTGTTACAACGAGGGGGGAGGGGTGCTACTGGCACCTAGGGGGTAGAGGCCAGGGATGCCACTAAACAACCCACAATGCACAGGATAGCATCCCATTACAAGGCATTATCCAGCCCAAAATATCTGTAGTGCCACGGCTAAAAACCTTATATTAGATAAAAAGTTGATGGAGAAATTTACAATGGTTATCAACTCTTGAACCCACCAATCAATTACAGCCTCACTAATAACAGTTTAAGCAGAAACTTTGTGTCTTCTGATATTATACAATATGAAGTACACTGCACCATCTATAAAGAATTTTGGATAAAAAAGGTGAAACTGAATCTAACTGATCCTTTAGAGCTAACTTATAGTACACAGGAATATAAAGGATCAGCAGATTCTTAATAGAATAGGCATCAGCACATTCTTTCTGTAAAAGGCCAGATAGTAAATATCTTAGGCTTTGCAGGCCATACAATCTCTGTCATGACTACTTGAATCTGCCATTGTAGTGCAAAAGCAGCTGTAAACATGCTGTGTTCCAATGAAACTTTATTGACAAAAACAGGTGGTAGTGGGCTAGATTTGGTTCAAGGGTCATTGTTTGCCAACCCCCAGTATAGAAGAAGAAGGCAAATGACAAAACAAAAAAGAAAACAAACACAGAAAATGGGACATTCTATGAGACAGCCAACAGTAACTCTTTAATTATTCAACATCACTGAAAAAAACTGGAGGGGGTGAGAGGGAGCTATTCTCATTTAAAAGAAATTCAAGAGGCATGAAAATCAAACGCCATCCATGAATCTTGTGTGAATCCTGATTCAAACAAAGCAACCGTTAAAAGACATTTTGAGAAACAAGTCAAGGTAAGTATGAACTGGGTATTTTAGATTATATCAAAGAATCACTGTTAATGTTATTATCGTGTTAATGGTATTATATAAGAAGATGTGTATGTTTTAAGAGAGGCATACCAAGGTATACGTGGGTTAAATGACACAATGTCTGAGAACAGCTTTAAAATACTTCAAAAGGAAAAAAGGGGGGGGGGAGTGGATTATAAACAAGTATGACAAAATCCTACTAACTGCTGAATATGAGTGATTGGTATAGGAAGTTCATTGTATTATTCTGTGTCTATTTAACATTCCCGCAAATAAAAAAAATTTCAAATAAAGTCCAGTCATTTAAGTCTTTAAAAACAACAACTCCAACTCAACATAAATTCCATTAATTTTCCAAATGGAGTGTCATAGTGAATTAGTATTCTTTCCCCTCCAAAAGGAACAACTTTCCCTTTCAGAAAAGCTGTATAAGTTCAGGCAAGTATTACATCTAAAGCATAGGTAGAAAATCTGTCCTGTTTTGTTTTGTTTTGTTTTTAACCTCATTTTGATGGTTCTTTGTATTCTGCACTGTCTTCATGCTGAAAGACATCACCACAAGTGGAGGAGAACCAACATCCTTAATTACATTCACCAGGTCTGGTTTCAAAGCCATTGCCTCAACTTTACACCAACTGATTGGCTGATTCGAGAGCTCTGAAAGAGAACAGATACAACAGATCAATAGCTATTTACCGAAAAACTACTATAATTAAGACATTTGTGACTGAGATATTCATCAATCCTGTCTTCTAATAAGAATGACATATTATAACATCTAACTAAAAATAAGCCATGTTATTGGGTTGTATGCAAATAGTCATGTGTGTGTACATATGTTCATTTTCCTGGGAAAAAGGTCCATAGCTTTCATCAGATTCTCCAAAAAATCCAGAACGCAAAATAGGTTTTAAAAAAAACCAAAACATCGCCATGGAAGAATCATAAGACATTTGTAAGAGATTCATGAAGACAAAACAGAGTATCATAGATGCAAATACTGAAAAACATCAGGGAACAGGATAAATAAGCACTATCCACATTGGGTAGTGATTCTCCCTTCCCTCAAAGGTGAGAAGTTCACTATGGAAAACGGTTGGGCCACATCAGCCAGGTCTGAAGTACATGCAAACAACAGCATAACAAGGAATGCACTCCAAATGGTCACCTGAGCTGAGGCCTCTGTCAGACTAGATTGCCAGGCATTACAGAGATAAAGTGATTCTAAATGTATTCCCTATACTCATTCAAGGAAAACCTAAAAAAAAAAAAAACACAAAAAAGGAAGTGGACACAATAAAATAAACAGACTAATTCCTTAACTTCCCTTTCAAAAACCACATCTATCAGCAATCTGCTCAGCATTCTGAGAGCAAATTTTTCCTTACGTGGATTTTTTACTTCAAGCCAACAAGGTCCTTTGATCTTTCTGTTCATCAAGAACAGTTCCAAGCTGGATGTGTTGGTCCCAAATACATGAGAAAAAGTTTCTCCTTTCAAATCTTGAGGAAGCTGTGGCACTTCAGCCTGAAAAAGGCAAAAAAAAAAAGTTTTTTTTTGTTTAAAACTATTACTTCACATTTTCCAAAGTCTATATTTGAAATAAACAACAGCTTCTCTATGAAGCACCAGAAGAAACCTCTTTGATACATATGAAATGTAATTTGCCACAAATGAAATCCAAAACAATTCACAGTAGGAAACAAAACCAATTCACAATGACAAAATAATGCATCTTGATGATACCCATTAGAAGAAAAATAGGCCAAGAAGCTCCCCCAAAAGAGAATTTCTGTCCAGAGCTATACATGCTTTACTGATAAAGAATAGCCACGTAAGTACCACTCCATTAGAAGAATGAAAGCAACAGAGTGGGACTCATTGAAAATGCTTCCATGGTACTTTTTCATCACCACTGCCAGAAACATTTTTTAAAAGTTTCCCTTTTGCAACATCGTGGGATCAAACACTAGAACAGAGAGGTAAAAAGAGGTTGGGGTCCAGTTAGTTAACATCCGCAGCAATGACCTTGCCTGTCACAGGAGCAAGAGCAGCACCATAGCGATGGTACTGACACTCCTCTCTCACCTTTCCACTGCTCAGAAGGGACACTTCAACGGACTAATGATGTCCAACTCCATCATGTGGCATTCAATCCACTTGACAAACAGTCGTGCTATTTCGAGTTATTTATTTAAAGATGCATATTTGAAAGCAGAGAAAAGCAGTGTAACCTGTAGTCTATATACTTAATTTTATCCATTTCAATTATTCATTACTGTAAGTCCACCTCATTGAACTGTAGGCTTGAGAAGCCCTGTCAGTACTCCTAACTGAAAGACAGTTGAAAGTTTAAAAATAGAAAAATGTCATTCTCAACCAAAACCCAATAATTTTCTTTGTTTGACTTACCGAGTATCTAACTTCCAAGTACTCAGATTTTTCTGGAACATCAGGTATCTCAAAAGCATAGTTCTTTTCCACTATCTGGGTACGTAGACATTTAAAAAATCATTAAGACAAAAACGTTTTACAAATTGCATTGACAAGCTTTACATACACAAAACATGCTCCTGTATTTAATCATCAGGAATCCAATATACGTACAAAACACAAAGGCAAATAAAGCCAAAAAGGCACTCTTTCCCCTTTTAACTGGGACTAACAGACCCAGTGACAAAATGCTTTTAAAAGGACTTATTTTGGACACTAGAGAATTTAGAAATATTTGCGTTCAAGAGGGGCAATAAAAGATTAAAGCTTTTTTTTTTTTTTTACAATGCCAATGCATTAAATCATTTGCTACTATTTGATATTAAGTAACTCCATCTTGCTAGAATAAATCATTATTACCATTATAATTCCAGCTCATATTTACTGAGTGTCAACTATGCATCAAGAACTATTCTGATCGCCTAATATGAATGAATTGATTTAACCTTTCCAACAACTCTTGAAATAAGGACCCATTTCCCAGATGAAAAAACAGGCATACTGAAGTCACTCGACACTTGTCCAAGGTCACACACTAGTAAGCAGTAGGGCTAGGACTTAGATCACAAGCTGTCTGGCCCCAGCACCTATGCTCTTCATCATTATACCACATTGCTTCAAGAATTTTAAACACTTGACCCATCAACCACAATTCAAAGCTCAAATAGTTAAGACTGTTAGCCTTATCTTCAGCAACTCAATCCTCCCTTTACTGCAATCATTACTAATAGCCAGTATTCTGAGTGGGCTACAGCCCCCACAATTATGGCCAAAGGCATCAATATCTCACTAAAATCAAAACAATTTATCATACATATCACATGAACAGAAGATTTTCATTCTATCAAAAATAACATCATAGTTCCTAATTTTTAAAGACAAAACCTTACCTAACCTTCTAACCAGAAACATCTTGGCAATAACTAATATAAACAAGATCAGAATAGTTTCTTCTCCATTTCAAAATAAAAGCACAAGATATATTGTGCACTGGAAACAATTAATTTGCTGAGTTATCTTTCTATTCAAATTAATAAACAGTTTATAAGCAGTTTAAAGAGAAAGAAAACATTTTTACACATTTAATATATTGTTTTTATATTCATACCTATGAAATTTCCATTCAATAAATTATAGTCATGCAAAAAGCATTTTGCATGAAGTACATATGCAATAATTACTGTATCTGCTAATCAGGATACGAACAAACAGAGCTGCAAAAAATTTGTCACCAAATACAAACCTTGGACTTGAACTTCATAATTTTATATTTTGTTGCTATTTTCTCATCAAATTCATCATAAACATCCTTCATTGCAACTGGAGTTCCTGTTTCTTTCCCTGTACTTAGATCAATTTTCTGTTCTCCCATGGAGAGGGGAATGGAGGGAAAAAAGTTATCTGTACATAAGATCTTCTCAACCACCAAAATTCCAAGTCTAAATCAATTTTCATTCTCACCCATTTAAACATTTACTAGCACAGTCTTACAGGTGAATTTAAAGATACAAAGAGACCCAAAATATGTACTAAACTCAATGCCCAATTCCTCCCAATGGCATCATAAAAAGAAATCAGAAATAAAGATGATTGATCCTACAAAATGAGAGACTAAGTATTGTAAATCCTGATCAAGAAGCTCCACAGTTCAACTGAGATGGGGAGGGGCTTGGGCTGGGAGGGGAGTGGGGATGTTAAGTACCAATAAAAAAGGAGGAACAAATGGAAGTGACTTTGTTAAATGGCCATGGAGGGAATGTTACTGCTGCCAATGCAGAAAAAGCATGAAACTGGGACAAACATCATGTCACATTTTAAAGCCTTATAGTCCCAACCCCGATTATTATAGAAATAAGGGGTGGGGAAAAAGATAACAACATATACTAAAACTCAGACGCTTATACTCTAACAAGTTGAAAAACTGAGTTCGACTTCATTTCTCTACTTTTCCCAACCTCTAATTGGGGTTGCTGACAATCAGTGGTCACTAGGCAGGCAGCAATAAAGAGGCATCAGGGTTGTGGACAATTCATAGCTCTGTTGAAGGACAGGGTTAGTGGCAGAACATAAAATGTATGGCATATACAACTACTGAGAACTAAAAGCTAATCAGTAAGGTCTACCATTTCACGGGGAAGGAAGTACAGCATTCGCTCAATGTTTTTCACCGTGACACAACAGCTCACATGGGTTTTAGCTGATTCAATCCAAACTTTGCCAAACAGAAATACCACACCTAAAAAGAATAAGGGAAAACCACAAGAAAAGAAATATTTCAATTACATCAAATTAGAGGAGCAACACACAAGTTCAGTGTATGTGCCTTCATGATAACTCATTTTGACAGAAAATTGATATTTGCTGCCCACTCCCCAAGACCAGTTCTTTACTCAGTACTTATGACATACTACACTATCACAATGGTACAGTCTGTGACCACTGGGAGGACAGGGGACAAAATGACTAACTTCGTGTAAACATCTTCCCTATAACCAGGATCACGCACATTAACAGAAACAAAACAAGCAAATTATTCCCAAACAAATCTCATACTTAAGCCTCTTTTGAGAACTTATAAATCCGAAAACCCTAAATTTCATTTTTAGTATTTGTACTTAAAATAAAACCTATATTCATGTATCAGGATAACTATGGTATGTCAGTATTTCTCTACAGGTAAAATTGTATTTAAGAAAAACATAATTCATCTTATATGTCTTATTCCATATAATAATAAATATCTCATAATAGGGTTCTACTCTTATATCCTATTTCACCTTTTCTATCGCACAGGCTATTTAAGACATCTGGCTAGGCAGAATTTATAAGGTTCCTTTCTCTTCTATTTCAGTTTAACAAATTGTTTAGTAACTAAATCAGTAGACATTCTCCTTTTGAGACCTCTAAGTAATGTATACCACAAAACAAAAACATGCTTTTCTAGACATCAAGTCATTGTTAATGAAAATTGGCCATTAAGAAAGGACTCAGATGGGCCGGCCCGGTGGCGCACTGGATAAGTGCGCCGCTTGGGAAGTGCGGCGGCGCTCCCGCCCGAGGGTTCGGATCCCACATGCAGACCGGTTCCCGCTCACTGGCTGAGCGAGGTGCGGGAGCGACGCCGAGGGTTGCGATCCCGTTGCCGGTCCCCGGTCCGGTGCGGGGGCGACACTGAGGGTTGCGATCCGTTGCCAGACACGGAGAAAGACAAAAGACAAAAAAAAAAAAAAGAAAGGACTCAGAGGTTCCAGTCAAGATGGCGGAATAGTCCCCAGTGTCACTCTCTCCCAAGAATCAACTAATTTACAACTATAAAAATGTAACAACAGCCAAGCTGTGGCCGCTGGAGCTCAGGGGAAGAGGAGGAGAGACCTATGAAGTTCATGAAAGCAGAAGAAAGCACGATGAGAGAAAGAAAAAACTGCTTGGAGCGTTTCAGGCCGTGGCTGCCTTAAGGCTCGAGCTGCTGAGCACATGGAGCAGAAGCCGGCAGAAGCAGCAGCTGTGCCCTTCAGATGGAGTTGCGTGGAGGTGGCAGGGGAGAAGAGGGCCTTGGTGGCCCCCAGACAGCAAGGCCATTAATAGGGTTCCCGTGGACCCATGCAGGAGCGAGGAGCCAGAAGAGCTGAAAAAGGGGAGCCATTCAGAGGCCGGTGAGTCATCACAAGGGACTGGCACAGGGCCCATCCCATGGGAAGTGTTTGGAGCATGGGCAGTGGGGAAGATGGTGGGCCCACCGGGAGAACACTGGGACACAGCAAGGACAGCCGATCTGCCCCCTAATCAATGAAGAACCACTGAGAGGAGAGTGGTCGGGAATGCAGAATTGCATGGGGTGCAGTTTGATGAAAAAACTCAGGCCCAGATCAGAGTTTCTACACGACCCAGGTGCACCCGGTCTCTGGAGAGCAGGAAGTACCTATAAGGTCAACCATTAAACCCTGAGCTGCACAAAAGTCTTCCCTAGGGAAACAGCAGCAAAGCAGCAATTCAGCTCAACCACACAGCTCAAGTACTGGTTCCCACAGGAAGTTCCC